TCTATCTCGAACATAAATCAAAGCTGGCGGATCTGTCGTCTTTAGATATTAGTATATAATTAACATTCTATCTACATGAAATACAGACAAATTCTTACCATGCGTGAAGAAATTAAATTAACTAACAATTATTTATTTCAATAGAATTTTCCGATGTTGATTTTTATAGATATTTGGTGTCATTAATCGACAACAGAACGAAAAATTGTATAAAATCAAATCAAAAATATATATCAACTAATGGATCTTCCTTGCCGTGTTTGTGATAAAATCAATTAAAGTGTCTGTTGTATTAAGATTATCTGTATTGTAGTGTTATATAGTCGCTATATTAAGTTAACCAATAATCAATGATGTTGATTATTCATTATTTACTTTTTATATTTTATATGTATAGTTGATTGTAAATAAATAATTATTGTGAAACATCAGTTACAATAACAAATATGAATAGTAAATTTGTTTCTTTGTTTATTATTGATCTATTTACTTTGATCATCATTTAGTAGTCACTTTTTTTTTTTTTAAATAATTATATTTGTATTTATATTTAAGGTGTATCTAAATAGGATGAGTTAATATGTAATGCAAATTTGTTAGGAGTGGGATTACATTGCAAGAATCATTTTGTTTTCATTATATTCATTTATAAATGTCTTATATACAGAAAGTTAAGGTAATTATCATGTCAAAAGAATTATTATTCAAAAGTAGCATGGAAATTTAAAATGAACGTTAACTATTGAGGAATAGAGTATTTGCTTGCATGAAAGCCTTGAAATGCGGGACAGATGGAAATAAAGAGATAACATCGACTTTGTAAAGTCGGTATGAATTAGAGGGGAGGTTTCCTAATTTTTGTAAGATGGTAACTTTAGCTTCAGTGGAGGCATGTGTTACGAATTCAGAAGGTGGAAGCAAAGAAGTTATATGTTTTGCTAGCGCAGCCTCGAGATGGTACGTGGGATGGGATCTTTTATTGACTAGTGGTCTTAGCGTCCAGGATGGTTTATGCATTTTTACCTCAAAAAATAATCTAGGGCAGGTGACATTTTTTGGAGGATTGAGAGGACCATCTAACGATTCCACTATTCCAGGCAAAGCTATAACTTTGCATGCTTTTCTTAACACCGTGGAAGTAGGATCTTCTTTTAGTATGATGGATTTGGAATGTTCTAGGAACTCTTTGGCTCTATCTAAGTTAGGAAACCTCCCCTCTAATTCATACCGACTTTACAAAGTCGATGTTATCTCTTTATTTCCGTCTGTCACGTTAACTATTTTATAACGTTAGCCTATATTATGTAATTTTTTTTTAATATAGAGATAAATGATTCTTTGTTTATATCTACATTTTATACTCTTAATTTTGTAAATAATATATATATTATTATTATCTAGTTCTTAAACGATACCTTCGATTATTATAAAAGAATATATTCATGAATAATTTGATAATTTTTATGTAATATATAATTACTGTAATGAATTATACAGAAATTAAATAATTTTACGGCTTTATTTCTTAACATTGAGAAATACTACAACGAATAATAAATGTATTTAGAAACACTTTCATAAAAGGTATTTTAACATGTGTGTTAAAAATGCGTTCAATATTTTGATTTTATTTAATCAGAAAATTTTAAAACATTGAATCATTTACAATTGAATTCAGTAGCAACTTTTAAAGATTTGAAATTATAAAGATTATATATGTTTTTTTTTCTTTTTATCCGAAATTATTTATAAAAGATATTCTGAAATATAAATAAATTTTAAATAAATAAGAATTTTGGTTTATTTTTAAGTAATTTATTTGTATAAAATTTTTCATTACTTTCATATATAGTTATTTTGAAATTTTAGCAAATGGAATTTTTAAGTTTTGCATATGATTGAGTGAAATTTTGTTTGTTGCATGTTTGTTACAAACATTACTAATTTCATAATATTTTATTTATTATATTTGGGAAAAATTTTTCATTTATTCTGTGTAAAAAAATTGATTCAATCCTTAATATCCATATGAAACTTGCACGTTATATTAGCTAGGCTTACATTTTTGTCTCTAAAATGTGAACGTCGAACGTCGCTTACAAGATAGCGGCACTCGACGTTCACATTTTAGAGATGAAAACGTTGGCCGCAACCTCACTATTAACAGACTAGTTTTTTGAAACCAATTTGAGAAAACAGTTCTTTTAAATAAAACATAGAATGAGATTTTGAAAACACATAAAACATCAAATGCCTCAGACATTTATTTGAAAATGAAAGTTGCAGTTATGTTGGCACCCGAAGATGAATTTGACTGGCTTCAAAGTACTTAGTGTTAGAAGAGGGAACTGTTTTCTCAGATTGGTCTCCAAAAAGTAATTTATTTGTTGTTATAACTCATGATTTGATGTTCTGTGAATACAAAAGTTATGAAAGAGTTTAAAATACATATCTATGCATTTGAAGCTATAACAGGTTAAAATGACTAAGACAAAACCTTTCACACTTTGTTTCTAGCAGTTTAATCAAAAAATACAAATGTTTTCAGCTGTTTTGAAAGGCCTTCTTCGAGGTCGGTTGGAACGTCAGTTAGCAGATATTCAAATGGCGTCACTGTTTGCATAGATTTCTTCTTACTAGTGACGTCTTTGTTGATAACAAAGTTTAGATGACCAAAAACGTTTGTACTTTGTGACTAAACTGTAGAAACAAAGTGTGCTAGAAACAAAAATTTCACATATTTCAGAAATGTTTGTAAATTAATCTAAATTATAATTCACTTTTATAAATCTTCAAAATTGCTGATTCATTCAAATAAAACATGTTAGATGTGTTAAAGTAGAATATTTATTTTGTGTTGAAATTGTTTATTTAAATTTATTATAATCCATAAAAAGCCATTTGACAGTCTGAAGGTTGTGATTTATCAAGTAGATTCTTGTTATAAATTCTATTTTATAGCAAATGTAAAATATACTTTATATATTTTATATATATATATAAATATATAAAGTATATAAAGTATTATATATAAATATAAAATATATATATATAGGTTCTAAACAAGAAAAACAAGTAAATTGAATGAAATAAAATCAGATGAGACTGCAAGACTCAAAAGTTCTTGGATTTTAAATTGTTTTAAAAATTTGATCTAATAAGTGATTTGAGATTTCTGATGAACTCATTTTAAACTTTGTGTTTCTTTAGCATGTTTATTACATTATATTACATTGCGAATATATAATATAAAGATATATATAGATGTATACACAGATACATTCCAAAGTATTACAAGATATTAGTGCATGAATATAGACATTCACCACAAACTGCAGGAGTTTTACGCTTGAAAGCCATGGTTAATAAAACTGTGATTGCCAAAACAGACTTCATGGGCGGTGAGGAGTTAATCCTTACTTATAATTCAAATTTTGTTTAATGAGTAAATCAACCGAAAGGAATAATTTAATAGAAAGTTAATTCAATAATAAACTAGATCAATGTTTACAAAATGGTTAGTAAGGTTGTATGTATTTTGTAAGATTGAAATTGGAAAGCTAGTGTTAACATTAACTGATTTTATTGCCTTCATTTTAAATATGTTCCACAAGATCCTGTAATTTATGTATAATTTTAAAAACATTCAACACCAAAAATGATTTTAAAACACTACAAATAATTTAAAATCTTTGTATGAATTAATAAATAAATGTATTTGCAGACTCAGACAAAGGTATTGATGGGATCATTTAGTTTAGTTCCAAGTACAAAGGGTCCGAAATTTATCTAACAAGCATGATACAAATTAAAATTACTTTTGATAAATGATGTGTATGATTTTCAGAGATAGACTGGTCTCAAATTTGTGACTATCCTCTTCTCACATTTCAGAATGTGCATATATTTTACATTAAAAAAAATTATCTATATATACACTGTGGTCTTAGTTCAATCACATGTCACATTATATATATATATATTCTGGGAGATGTATATTTATATTAGTATGTAATGTAAATATTAAGCAGTTGAAAGAAAACAAATAAGTCTATTTTTCAAATTCAGGATTTTGAATGTATTACTTTTAAAATATGTCAGTTTTAATATGTATAAGTTATCAAAACTTTGTTAATATCAAGGTTAGAAATAACATCTCGCATTTTTATTATTTGAAAGCGATTATTTTAAGTTTAAAGGAAGTTAAATGATGTTTGCAGTTTTCTTCCATATACATTATTAATAAAATTGAGTTGATAGCGTATATTTGTTTTTTGATTACATCTTTCCAAAAACCTGTTTAATATTTTATGTTATTAATGAAAATATGCATAATTTATTGCAATATTACTGATTTTTGTTCTATTTTAGTTCTGTATATAAGAAGCCATTTTGAAATACAGTAGGGTCCCGAAAACTCGGCCTAATGTGGACCGAAGGGTGGCAGAGTTTGTGAAAATGCCAGGTTATCGGAAATGGGGTTAAAAAAGAATAAGTAGGCCTACGAGTGTTTCCTCAGAAAATACTGTACTGTACTTGTATGTATTGTTTGCTTGAGAATACATCAGATATTTGGGCATCAGATCAGATGCCCAAATACCCTTAATTAAAGAAAGGAAAAGTGAAGGCATAGAGCCTTTACTACATGAAAATGAAAATTAATGAATACACAGTGTACAGTAATTTACCTGATAAGACAGACCTCAGAAAAATACTTTATGAGGCATAAAGCTGTCTATGATGAAAATTAACTAGGGGTGTTTTTGCCCTGTGGATGAATTATCCAGACTGCCGGGTTATCGAGTGCCGAGTTTTCAGGATTCTACTGTACTATGTAATTTGAAATAACTCTAGGTATAATTCAAGTTAGAAACAGTTAATTACATTGAAATTGTAAAATTACATATAAAATTGTTTAATTATAACTTTTTATTAAATAATTCTCTTTCTTTACAGAGTAAAATATATATCAAATGTTCAACCATAACATTAAATGTTTGTTTAGAACATCAGCTGAAATGAAAATAAATTTTATATGTTATTATATCAGAAGTAAGTAGAACACAATTTTAAAAATTTTATTCATTAATAACAAATAGCTTAAGTTAATATTACTTAATTCATTTTAATATCGAAATAACTGTGAATATATATAGTTATGTTCAAAAAAATAATTATTAAATTTGAATATGTAGTATATTATTTAAATTATAGAAATATATTGACTTTTAACTGCTTATGGAATATCCATTTTTTCTATATTTCTTAAGAAGAAGAAAATCTTTATTTAAATTATAGGAGAAAATCTGTACAAAATCTTGAATGAAGTTGTCTTCACGTAAAATCTGACCTTAAGCAAGATTAATTTTGTTGTAGATATTCATAAAGCAATCATACAATATGAAGAGTAATGTCATTCTTCTAGCTATAGCTTAATTTTTACTTGTCACTTATCCTTAATTATTAAACTGTCATTTCTGTTTTTATTTGTCAAATATTCTTATTTGAGTTATATTGATTCATTCATATATTTATTTGAAATTGAAATGTCAAAAATAAAAAGACAAGCCTTAAAAACGTGTTAAAATCAGAAACGCACAAAAGAAACTTTGCTAGCATTGACCTTTCTTAAGAGTCTACTTGGCCTTCTTTAAAAATGTCCCAAACACAATCACTAGGTGTCATCTTTAACTGCTGTACTCATATCTGGGAAATCCAAGTGCTGATTTTATATTTGTTATTCTCTTCAACATGCTAATATCTTACTCAAATGTTCTCTGATAGATAGAATACATTCAATTATTTTCATTTCTGTTAAAAAATAATTCTGGGTATAAAGATATTCCAGCAATCATAGGATGTAAATTTAATAATTACAAATAAGTCAATTTAGATTAATTTGGAAGAAAAGATTGATCCGGAGCTGAACATGAATCCGCAACTCTTGTTTATCATGCAGATACATTAATTTCAAATTATTAGATTTAATACACGATGAAGAACCATTTACCTTTTAGTCCAAATTATGTAATATATGTATAATTAATTAACCAAGTTCTAGGCCAATAGTAAATCTAGTCATGTTACAGTAGAGCCTCAAAAACTCAGCACTCCGGATAACTCGGCCACACCCTGGCAGGGCAAAAAATCCTTAATTAATTTTCATGATAAAGACAGCTTTATGCCTCATAAAGTATTTTTCTGAGGTCTGTCTTATCAGGTAAATTACTGTACACAGTGTATACATTAATTTTCATTTTCATGTAGTAAAGGCTCTATGCCTTCATAAAGGACCTACTTTTCCTTTGTTTAAGGGTATTTGGGCAGTTTATTCTCTGTTGTATTCTCAAGTAAACAATACATACAAGTACAGTACAGTATTTTCTGAGGAAACACTCGTACTTATTTTTTTAACCCCATTCCCGATAACCCGGCATTTTCACAAACTCTGCCACCCTTCGGTCCACATTAGGCCGAGTTTTCGAAGCTCTACTGTATTTGATAATTCTTAATTTCTATTACAATTTATCTATATCTTTCTAATATAATCTTTTTTATTAACATGCTTTGTTCTATTTTTCATGTCTTGCCAAATAATGTTCAAAGTAGTCAATATTTATTTTCGGGTTCTTTATTTTTAAATAATAGTTACCTAATATTAAAATTTAATTTTTAAAAAGTCGAAAAGGAATTTAATGTAAGTCATTTAACCTCACTTTGGAATTTATTCTTGGATTGCACATTGCTTAAACTTAATTAATATCTGAATAAGCATATATACTGTAGTTGAGTGGGTAATTCTAAATTTATTTGCTCTTTTTCATAGCTCCTCATTAGTGTATTAATTTCACTCTAATATAATAATTGAGAAAATCTATTGTAGATTTTCTAAGTCACCTCAATTTCAAGTTTCAAGTTCAACTGCTATAGTAAAAATGTTAGTACTTCATTGACTTTTACTAGTTTAATCAACTTTAGTATTATTATTTTGGGGAATTTAAAATTAAAAAATTACTTTTACCAATTACTTTGTAGTTCCTTATAATTCTCTTGAAGGAAGTTATTTTTGATTACAGTATCTTATTGCTCAATTATTCTTTTAAGTTTTCCAGAAAGGATATTGTGTATGAATTTAAAATTAATTTCATATTTCTCAGAAAAATGAAAATAATCATCTTTTTTTCCAATAATCGCATTTTCACACATATATTAATATACAACAAAATGAATAAAATTCTTGAATCCAGTGTTATATCATTTTTTTTTCTTTAAAAGTGGTTTATGAATGTTTTAAATTTACAAATTTCTGTTACAAACAGTAATTTTTTTGCTCAACTTTTATTGTTTATATATCACTTATACTAAATACAGTCGATCCCCCTATAAGACGGTAGATACATTCCATTCTTTATGAATCAATTTTGTAGGAATCGCAGCCAATCACAGCCTGACACGTGTGAAGTTTACGGACTACGGCTGTTTGAAAGGTTTTCTTCCATAAAATTAATCGATTCTAGACTAATTCGACTCAACATTTCCAAAATACGTATATTTTTTTTGGAAATAATCCGTATAAACTACGTTATAAACAAAAAATTGTAGGATTACATACCGAGTGTGCACCATTCTACATCGCCATTGCTCAAGCTTGTTTTCGTCACAGAACAGCACAGCAAACCGCGGCCGCGATTTCTGATGTTATTTTTCTGTGAAAACTTTGTTGAACTTTGGAGACATCATTAATATAAATAATTTTAATCGCCGTTGAATAAGAAATGTTTCTTTCACAAGAAATGTATAAAATTACAGTACTGTATTAGACTTACGGTACCTAATTTACATACTGTACAGACGATAGCTCGACTAAACTCTCCGTAGCGTGGCGCTAGACGGCGGAAAGTATATATATAATTATAATAAAGTTACAATAAATTAAGTTAATATATAATTATATATACAGTACCTAATTTATATATAATTATATGTACAGACGATACTAAACTCAATTTACCCGCCTAAACTGTCTGTAGCGTGGCGCTAGACGGCGGAAAGTAGTTCGGCTGCCCGATGACGTTTTACGTAATTATAGAAGTTTTTTTACCGTTTTTACGGATACCGCACAATTTTTTTGCCGTCTTATAGGAATCGTAATTATAGGAACCCGTCTTATAGGGGGATCTACTGTACTCCCTGAAATAACTTCAGAAAGACAAATTTATACTATAATACAAAATAACTCTAGACTTATGCTCTGCAGAAGTCATAAGTTTTTTATTATTTAAATAAACAAAATATAAAAAAGATTCAATTAAAGCCAAACTATTGCCTGATTATATTGGGCTATAACACATCACTCAATAAGTCTCTGATCTAACTAAGAAAAACAATTTTTTTTTTTAGAAATTTGACTTTATTCATCAACATACTCTCCTTCAAGAGTGATACATTCCAACGCTCCTTTAACTTTTCGATGCCTTTTTTGTAGAACCATTTGTCTTTGCTCTCAAAACAGGCCTCAGTTTCGGCAATCACTTCTTCATTTCAGCTAAATTTCTTTCCCTGGAGCATCTTTTTGATGTCTGCAAAAAGCCACTAGTCGCTGGGGGCCAGATCCGGAGAGTATGGTGGGTGAGGAAGCAATTCAAAGCGTAATTCATTCAATTTAACCATCATTTTCATCAACTTGTGACACAGGGCATTGTCTTGGTGGAACAGCACTTTTTTCTTTTGCATGTGAGGGTGTTTTTTCTTGATTTCTACACTCAATCAATTCAATAGTGCCATGTAATATTTGCTATTGATAGTTTTACCTTTCTCAAGACAGTCGATGAACAAAATACGGATGCCATAACCTTGCCATCTGACTTTTGAGTTTTTGGTTGCTTTGGATGACTTTCACTGGCTGCTGCCCACTCAGCTGACGATTTTTTTTATTCAGGTGTGTAGTAATAGATCCATGTTTTATCCATTGTCACATACCGACGCAAAAAATCCTTTTTATCTCGCTTGAACAGTTCCAAACAGCGCTCTGAATTGTTGGTGCATTCAGTGGTGATATTCAGCAGGTTCGCACAGGTTCGGCCGAATCTGTTGTTAACATTTTCAAAGTTTTCCGAACCCTGTTAAACACACATAACATTTCTCAGTGGTTTTGTTTCTTTTAAAAAAAATATATTAAAATATGCGTATTATACTTTGTAACACTACTAAACTAGAGCCTTATACCCCGTTCGCCATGTTCCAATTGTCGCCGTTCGCATATAACCTCCATCGACCGTTTCAATCTCGACTGAAACGAGATTTAATCGCGATCGACTCAAGAGAGTTCTTGAAACTAGATCCATCATAAGAGAGATCCCACAATCCCACGCACACGAGAAAATACAAGATGGCTGCGGAACACGTGTCGGGCTATTGACAGCAAAATAAAAAAGATATTGTATTTTGAGAGACAATGACATCTGTTATTAGATATATCGCAAGAAAAAAGTATTATTTATTTCTAACCAAAACTTCCATTTTGTTTGTCGGTGTTCGTGACTTACCGCGTAGTTATGTCAGTTTTATCATCGAATGTAATATATATCTTTTTTATTTATATGGATATCTTAAGGTCAGTTTTTGCGCTAATGTTGCTAATGCATCATTTGAGCGAAAAAAAATTGTTAAGGAAAAATTTTCTGTTAGCGAACCCTTTGTTAAATATTTCGAATATCACCACTGCGCATTGTTGTTTTTGGTCCAGTGTGAGCAAATGCGGCACCCACTTCCGAAACAACTTACGCATGCTTAAATTTTAGTATAAAATTGTAAACACACTACCTTCTGATATCTTTAAGGTGTCAGCTATCTCACACAACTTCACTTTATGGTCTTTCAAAACTATTTTGTGGACTTTATGTTTTTCAGAACAACTACCGATTTTGGGCGACCAGAGCATTCAGCATCATCGGTGTTTGTGCGATTGCATTTAAATTTGTCATACCAGTCAATAATAGTTGATTTCCTTGGTGCAGAGTCTCCAAAACGCTTAACAAGCCACTGTTTGACTTCAACAGTATTTTTTCCCATTAAAAAATAATGTTTAATCAACACACAAAATTTTTTTTATCTATTGTTTTGAAAATTACAAAACTGGGGTCACTAAAACCACTGTAACCTGTAAACTAATTGTCAGAATGTCAGGAAATTTTGACACGTATCATTTGAAGGTTGGTACTATCCAGAAATCATATGGGTCTGTCAACAGTGTTGCCATATATGTGTCAGACTGGAGATTTATTGAGTGATGTGTTAGTAATGCTACCATAAATAATTAAATGTTAAGTGATTTAGCCTTGAGATATCCAAGTTACTTAACATTATATATATTAAGCACGATATAATCTGGTAATTGTTTGTTCTAAACTAATAATTGGATTTTTAGATATTTATGTTTGTATAAAATTTAATCAGCTTTAATGCTAGAATGTCCATACTTTCAAGGCATCATAGGACAGCTGATGCACTCTTGTCTCCTCTGGAAAATTCAGTATACTTTTACTCACTTTTTTAATGAAAATAGTTACATAAAAGTTTTTATCTGATAATGTTTTTATTAACATTTATTGTAATTTTTTAGATTTTAATTTGTATTGACTAAAAATATAAATTTTATAACAAATAATCAGATATTTTAATGTTTATTTTTATTGCTTGTTTTTATTATTCTAAAAAGAAAGCTTATAACATAAATGGTTCAGTTGTTTTATGAAATTATATATAAATAAGTAATAATGTCTTTCGTATTATTATAATCATAATAGGTTATAATTTATTTTTGTTATACACAAAAATTTACATAAGATGTATTGTGACAGATATCTCAATATTTTTTACTTGACACGGTTGACACAAACTACAGTGACATATTTGTTTCCGATGCACATTTTATAGGGTAACTTTTTTCGCATTTTGAGCATATATCAAAACATTTCCTTTCCTTGGAATTTGCATTGATTCAGAAGTTGACCATGGTTTCTCTGTTCTTGTTTGTTATTGATGCTTCAAGTTGCAGAATAGTCTTTGGTAGGAAGAAGCTAGTTCTAAGTTCTCACTGTCATATTCATCTCAATTTGCAAGACACAAAATTTATTAATTTAAATCTTCTTGAATGACAAAGGACTCAAAAATTACACATTACATTAAAAACTGGAATGATAGATGAAAACTTTGGAAATTATACGAGAAAAGAAATGTAAATATAATTACATTTCCTACTCGCCTCTATGCAAATGAAATCTAGATGTATGTCCCTATATTTCACTTTTCCGCAAAAACTACACATCGCACATGAATGGTGTTTGTATGTGGTGGTAGCCCCAAGTCTCCATTCGTGCATAGGGGTGGTTGCGTCTTGATAGCTATAAGGGTGCGGGAGATATGAGGCTGAAAGTGGTTGAAAGTGGCTTTCAATTTCGAATGTTTTGTTCGAATTAAATTCGAACATAAAATTCGAATATTGGTTCGATTATAGAACGATTGTAAACGTTCCAGAAACGTTNATTCTAGTACATTATGAATCAAAGATTAATTCAAAATTACAAAGTCTGATAGGAACAAATAGTTACAAAGCATCACATCTCAAATACAATGGTAATCTGAACATATTTATTCTGAACGACCAGTAAACCCAATTATAGTTTAAAAAAACAGGTTTATTTATGATGTATAATTATTTATAATAGTTTTAAAATTATTTTACTTTTATGTTTTAACAAAAATAAATCAGTGTATTTTCGTAATTTTTACATTACAGTCGAGTACTTTGTTTTCTATTCAATTAATTCATTTACTTATTGTATTAAATTAATATATTATTTGAATAATTCGTTGTTTGTTAAACATTAGTTGTCGTTGTTTCTTTGGAAATAATTTGCTAATACAAACTCCTTGTTCGGTTTCGAGACTTACCCCTGTATAGAATCTACAGAATTTATAAAATGGCAAAGCAACTATGTTTTTTCAAGTTTTCTAATAAGTTTCTCTGCGTGGAGGCAGGTTTTTTCATTAGACGTAATGCATTTTATGTTTGTTGCCAGTAATAAAGAGTGTCCGTTAAAAAAAATAAATTGCAATACGTTACACAGGTTCTACCAGGAAAAGAGAGCCTGAGTCAGCAGTCTAGTCAATTTGATAATAAATACTTACTCGGGAATCGTATTTCTCCCTGACTTCACATTCCTGGATTCTATACAAGAGCATACAGTTGTCCTTGATGAACTAATCACCAGTAAGTCTAATTTGGCTGTAAATTGTTTTATAATCAACATATTTATTACAACAATAATATAATCAAAATGTGAAAATACTGTATTGCAAGTAGAAATACAAAGACTATTTAAAACTTTCTGAACGAACAAAATTTATAATGATGTAATAAACGCTTTAATAAAATTATTTACGATCAAATTAAACTAAGAAAATGATCAATATTTATCATTAATTTTTATACCTAAAGTTATGATCTGAGCAAATTTTATATTCAAAAATAAAGTTGAATATTCAAAATATATCAATTCATTTAATGAATTTTTTACATTGAAAATATATATTTATAATTTAAAATATTAAAAAATATTAATTTAAAAATTTGAAAATTACAGGTCATTTATTTTATTTGTAAACTTTTAATTGCAAGAGATTGAAATTCAAGAATTTCAATAAAATAAAATAAACAAATCCTGATGAATTTTAAGTTTTAAAGATGAAAATTGAACATTTTCCTTTGTTTAAAGGTAATATATATTTCAGTTATTATTATATTTTAAATGTAAATTCTTTTCAGTTTGTTTTAATGTTTAGAAATTCGTAAAGCACTTGATGCCGAAAATTACACAATATAATAAAGATAATAAGAGACTGTCTTTCGTTGTTGGATATTTTTAATTAAAGTCGTTCTAATTCCGAAAGACAGTTACTTATCTTTTATAGTATTAATGTTAATTTGAACTATTTTAATGAAATATAATTTAAATGAGACTATCTTTTAGCTGTCATATTTTATGATTTTAATTGTGTGCTTGTGTATTGACATATTTTGAAACTTCTGTTACACCATATTTAAATTTTTAATCATTTACTTATATCTACTTCTGTTCAGATGAATAAAAACTTTTCACATTATTCGGATTTCAAAAAATTACAGGTAGTTTTCACAAATTTTGGCTGGGAGCTGCATGTTATCCAAATTCGTTTTTAGAGTATTTGAGGAAAATATACTCCAGTGATTTAGGATAATCTTCATATCCTGTTTAATTCGTATAACTTGTACCCTTTGCTTACTAATATACTCATCCTTGCTACTGTGCATCACAGCTAAAATATGTGAAATGTCCTTCATTTCACATTATTTTTCTACATTAATTCCAATTGAATTTATTTATTCTTCTTGTAATAAATAAATTCAATTTGAATTAATGTAGAAAAACAATTGAGACAAGTAAGAATTTGTTTTTTGACTGTCACTTTCGGCTTGGCTGTCATGATCAAATGTGAGTAGAAAGAGAAAAGGGGATGTGAAAAGTCTCCTGGGGCACCAAGGCAACCAACCAAGAAGAGGAGAAGGGGAAGTACAGACTAGTGAGGTGGCAAGCCTTCCCACTAGTGGAAGCAAACTAGTGCGTCGTCAGTCACGGACTGCCGACGCAGGAAGAGAGTGTTGCTGGTTGAGCAGCGAATACACAATACGTTTTAAACTGTGCAGGCCGTCTTCCAGCAGAAGTAAAAAGAGGTTAGGACAGGTAGAAGATCAAAATAGTACTTACCTGGAGGCCGGGGAGCGTCTGGCTCAAAGTCCGGTAGGTTCCATATAACTGATGAGTATTAGCAAAATAAGCTTATTAAAAGAGTGTAAATCAAATAGCTTTGTTAGTAAAGATGTGTGTGCATATATACATCTGAAATACTTTTTATTATGATTAATCAAGAATAAATACATTTATTTTTGATTTATCTTTAGAATATTATTATGTAATTTAACATATCTTCAAGTGAACATACAGTACATTTTGTAATAAGTAGTGTACCGAGAATATACTGATTTTATTCTCTGGTTGATAAGCCAGGATTGTGATTGATGGTCCATGTAGTTGGACAATGCTAAAGTGATAAAATTCAGAAGTCTTAAAACAATTTTAACTGCAACAATAAAATATTTTTTAATTTTAAATGTAAAACTGAATATTTTTATAAATTTAATTGAATGAAAACTTGAACTAGATTACATTAATCATTGCACATTATTGCTAATGAAGATGTGCTGTTTTTATTTTTGGAATGATCTGTTTGATAAACTTAAAAAAAAAAAATTAATTAAAATTGCTAAAAGATTAAGTAGAATATTTTCATATATGTAGTAATTCTCTCTCCTTTTCTCTTTCTTTTACTCATGATAAGTATGTGAAAGTTTTAGGATATATTCGGGAATATGAATAAATTAATATTTTTGTTTGTTTATGAAATATGTTAAAGTTTTATAATTATTTCAATTTAGGTTTAAATGTTCATTACATATTGCTGTTAAGTATTTCTTTCACTAAAATATATATATTTTTTTCTCTAGAATACATTTCTATATCAGTAATTTTTTTTTTCCTAGAAAAAATTGCGCTCGCACAATGATAACTTCAGTGATAATTTTCATAGAAAATATAAAAACTACTATACTATTAATGCAATTTCTGAATATTTTTTTCAACTTTCTAACAAAAATACTATGATTACGTGTACTCAGTATGTCTTGATTCAATGAATATTATAATAAGTTTTACCAATGTTGTTTTTAAATTTAAGATATTTAAGATATTTAAATATAATTAGTTCATTGTAATTGATGGTCTCTTCAGCTATTTGAAGATTCGATGATATGAATTAGATAAATCATTTAAGTTTCTCTGCAATTAAGCAATGGTTAACATATTTTATTCATAGACTAATAGCTTAAAATAATTTACTGTATAAATAATTAGTGATATTATTCATTTTTTTATGCAACTTCCAATTGTTAGAGGGGGGAAATTTGTATTAAAAAATTCATGAATTTTTAATCTATTAAACTATTAAAATTTATGATCTCCAAAGTATTTCACGTAATGAATAACTTTTGCTGAATGAAATTTATATTACAATGTTTGACTTTACTGTTGAAAGTGTATTGTTTTCTAATAGAATATCTTTTTAAATACGAATTGTAAAACTTGTTTTTCAACTTGAGATAAAATCCAAATGCTTTGCAATTAATTGCTGTTGCTTATGATTGAGGCTGATAATTTTTTGCTGCTTGATCTATTTTATTGATATGAGGCAGATGAAATAAATAAGGTTAGTAGTGCTGTTGAAGAAAAATAAAATAGAGCATACAAGTCGAGACTAATAATAATAGAAGCGTATACAGTAATGCATCCCTGTACTAATAGTCATCTCTGCCAGGTGACATTTGCATCTACTACATGGTTTACAAAATGGCATTGTCCATATCAGACTGCAATTGAAAAGCAAACTGTTGTTCAATTCTTGGTAGCCAAAGTCCTTAGATCTAGTGAGATTCATCACAGGATGTATGCACAATATGTAAATCTGTGCATGTTGCTAGAAAAGATAAATAATCTCATCTATACACACTGTAAAATATACGACTTACTTCTGACTCGAAACCAAAACAGTGCTTAGTGCTTATATTGAACTAAGCACTATTTTGGTTTCGAGTCAGAAGTAAGTCGTTTTATTGAGATATTATATTTTCATATTGAATACAGGATGCTAAAAGTGTTTGTTTTAAATAAATAAAAGTTGCATTAATTACTTAATGTAATAAAGAAATGTTTTATTTTCGATATTTTTCAAATTATTTTAAAATTTGCATATTTTTTTTTATTTTTAACTACTTTAGAAATCAACTGTAGTTTTTCTGTAAAACAAATAAAATTACTAACTTATTTAGCAAATCGTCATCAGGATACCTAAGTTTAAATTGCATATATTAGAACATTTAATGATGTAGAATAGAATAAATATTTTATTTCATATTGTTAAATGATTACCATATACTTATTTCATAATTATAACTATATTTGTTTTGAAAGTGACTTATTAAACAAGGCAAAAACATTCATTTCATAAAACACTTCTCAAATAATATATATTTGCAAAGTTTATTTTTCTAAATATATTAAAGTTGAAAATTTTATGTATTACAAAATTGATTTTAATAATTTTTAAAAGTAGCTGGAAGCTCATTTATATCCGGGAAATGCTGCTAAACAGCTACTCTAACTTTTGCCTCTTACTTGCAGTTTAGCTAATGTAAAATAAATAGGGACACCCATTTCCTTCCACTGAAATTACCTATCTTTGCTGTCATCTGCCATTTATCCGACATCCTGTGATATGTATAAACTTACTCAGGTAGGGTATTATCTGGAGGAATAAATTTCCTGCTTTTTTTTTTCAAAAATATTGTGATTAATATTTTATTCTTTCAAAATTTACTTTTTTATCTTGATGATAATAATGATGATTAATTATTATTCTCTGCATAAATGGTAATAATTTTTATTCTTTCTTAAATTGATAAACTTCTAATAACTTATCATTTGTATTTCTATAGCTAGAAAAATATTTTAAAATAATTTTAAAAAATTATAGTGAAATGATAATTATTTTTTGTTATGAAAAATTTAGTCATTTTATAATTTTATTTACTTTTTTAACATAATGAAATTTAAAACTGTGTTTTGAAGTAAACATGTAAAGTAATTTTTACATAATTAAGCTTTTGTTTCTTATAACTATTATTAAATTAATGATTGTTTATTCTTTCATTAATCTACTTTTAATATTTAATAATGTAATTTGAATATCAATTTGTATGTATCCTTATTTACTAACAAATTTTTTGTATTATGGGGTTGTCCCTAAATTACATAATGCCATTTTTATACTTTTCGACTACCATCCCATACCCTTGTAATACTCCATTATACTGTCACATATATATACTCACCCCAAAAATTGTGTAATGCATATCCTTGATTAACCTCCCAAATTATATTAATTAAGGAATAACATTATGTTATTTTATTAATTACATCAATAATATACAAAGCATTATTGTTTTTGCGAGCTGAGAGACTTCCTTCTTACTAACATTAATAATGCAACAAAGTACCACCAACATATTTTAGAGCTTGCACACCTAATTTGTTATACTTCGTATTTTGCATTTGAAGGGAACACATATTTACAAGAAAGAGGGGTTCCAATGGGGAGTCCGATATCTCCGTTATTATGTGAACTAGTATTACGGCGATTAGAAAGTAATGTTCTGCCCGTCTTTATAAATGACATACTTGTATATGCAAGATACGTGGATGATGTTTTCATCATTTGGAGGAATAATAATAGGGCTCAATATTTCCTTAACAAAATGAATAACAACCCGTATGGTGTAACTTTATCATTGGAACAGATAAGTGAAATTAACGTAAATTTTCTGGATCTGTCCATAACTTGTAAATATGGTGAAATATGGACAAATATTTATCGAAAGCCTAGCTATCTTCCTATTATTATACCGAAGAATTCCTTTGATCCTCATAATTTTAAGAATGCAGCCTTTCGATCATGGATAAAGCGGGCCTATACCCATTGTACGAGTATGGTTGACACACACAGAGAATTAAATAACATACGTACAATAGCTGTACAACAGGGATATCGTATAAGTGAAATTAATGCTCTTATTGATAAATTTTGTAATCAAACAAATAAGCAACCTACAACTAAGAACCAAGGACGAAGAGTAGTTCTCAACTATATTCCTTTCCTTCAATCGATGATTAAAAAAGTATCTCAAAAGAATAATTTAAGAGTTACCTATCGTCGTAATCCGACGATTTATAGAATTTTACGAAATGACAAGAAGAAAGGAAACAGTTACAATACTACAGGAGTTTATTCTATTCCATTAAGTGATCGCCGTTTTAATTCAGAGCTAGTTTACGTTGGTGCCACCATGAGACTTTTAAAACAGAGGATTAAAGAACATAAATATTCTATTACTAAAAACGTGGACAGCACCGTCCTTGCAGCCTTTGCTAAACATCAAGATATTAATGTACATTGGGACAAAGCATCTATAATTAGGACAGCCACCAACAAACAAGTCCTTAAACATATTGAAAAACTTGAAATTTACAAGGCGCATATCAACAAAGGATGCATCAACCATAGAGACGCAGAAAGTCTATCCTGCGCATGGAAATCTTTTTACCATGACGATTAATTTTTATTTTTTAATTAATTTTAATTTAATTTCATTCGTTACCACGATTAATTTCTTAATATTTATTTATTTTTATGTTTTATTTACGTTTTACGTAATTAATTTTAATTTTTAAACCGTTGTATAGCTTACATTCTATTTTACGTTCGTTTTCCGTTTTAAAGTTCGTAACTGATGAAGACTATTAAATATAGTCGAAAACGTTTTTAATTTATTAAATACGTTGCTGGAAATAGTAAGGTGGTTTGATTATTTTATTTTAATATACAAAGCAGTGAAATAAACGGTGTGGTTCAATATGAAACACTTGAGAAACAAAATACTGTTATACTGCTACTGAAGGGTTGAGACTCTAGCATTACATAATGTTTTTGCATACAATCCCATTCCCAGGTAACCATTATAACAATTATCTACATACCCACTAACCCATATCTGCATTATGTAATTTATGAGCAGCCCTTATATGGAATATACAGAATATGTGGACCACCTATTTAGAATTATGTGCACTTTGGCCTAACAGTTGAAAAGTTTGGTCACCCCCTAGATTAGACCATCTTCATTGCCAATTGGTCATCAGTCTAATTAAGCAATTCATTCATTAATTAACTATTGTTGGCTTATGGTTTAGACCAGGGTTGTACAGCCTTTCTTCCTAATGGGCCAAATTAGAAACTTACATGGATTCAGCAGGCCACAAAGGTATCTTATATAAATATATGCTTTTAAAATGTTTGAAGTTTTGATGTTTTTCATGCACAAAAAGAATTGTTCACAACAGTATGTTATGCATGTGGGATAGTACAGTTTTCTAGCACCAATTATGTCATTACATCAAATGTATTCAGTGAAATGAGAACAATTTTTAAAACATTCTTTACCAAAATAAATGAAAATGTGCCTAAAACAATTTAGGGTGCAGTGGGCCGCATAAAAATGTTAAGTGCAGCCCGGGCGGTGGGTTGGACATCTCTGATTTAGACCTTTAGCAGAAACAAGTCTAAAATATATCTTATTCTAGAACTCATTTCTGCAGTAGGTCTTTTCAGTTTTTAGATGTGATCAAATATGGGTAAATTGAATGCAAAATTATTTAATGGAAAAATAAAGAAATATAATATGTTAGTACAGAAGAAGTTTATTAATCTAGTACCTGTGAGATCAGAGTGGTTCTGCGTTATTGAAAACACCAAAATAGCATTTTGAATAATGGCAATATTAATGATAGTTTTGCATTTTTTTCTAAATTTAATAAGTTTCATGCAGTCTGAATTTGCAGATGTTCTGCATTTTTCTACCAGCACACATATTGTATTTCTGCTTGTGATCTTTAGCACACCATGTGTCTGAACAGATTCCTGTTTGTGGAATACCAAATTAGAATGTTGGAATACCAGATATTTTGGATTATTGTGCATTTGTTTAACGAACTTGTATTAATTTCTAAAATAGACTTTTGTAAATTAATAAATTTAACAATTTAATAATATATCCCATATCTGTACATCTGTAGCTCTGTAGCCCTTTTTATTAATGGAATGTTTATTTTTACAATACTTGTTCTAAAAAAAAATTTGAATTTGGTCTGTTAAATTTTAATTAATGGTTAAGTGATTTATCATAAAATTTATAATAATTTTTGAGTTTCAATTCAGTTATATTGAAGAAAATAAATTACTTTCAATGATATGGTTCGTCAATTTATAGGTTTCATTTCTTCTCTCGTCATTTTTGATGGTATATGGCTAATTTTTACATAATTGTTAAATGCTGATAGTAAAAAAATCAGTGAAACAAAATATTGAAAATGTTGAAATAAAATAACTCTTACATGAATTCATTGAATTATTTTTAAATTTATATCTTGTTAATTTACAAGGGCATTTTTTTTTTTTAACCTTCAGTGGTCCATAAAACAAAGACAAATGTAAGTAACAAGATGAATTTATTACCAAAAGTTAGGTACAAACATGGTTACTTTTTGATATAATCGCCGTGGAAATTGAGGCATCTGTCATATCTGTGGACGAGCTTTCCAATCCCCTCTTCATAGAATGTTGCCACCAGTGACTTGAGATGGGCCTTAACGTTGTTTTGAAGATTGTAATTAGTCTCGAACCTCTGCCCTCCTAGCTTATATTTCAGTTCAGGGAAGAGGTGGAAGTCTTCACACATTTAAGGTGTGTGAAGAATTCCACCTTTCAGACTTCCACCCAGCTTGGAACGTTTTAAATCCTCAGTGTAAAGCCCCAATTTAGCACCGAGTGACTTCCATCTCCTTCCTGAACTGAAAAATGTGGCTAGGAGGGCAGAGGTTCAAGACTAATTACGATCTTCAAAACAACGTTAAGACCTATCTCAGTAACTGGCGGCAACATTTTATAAAAAGGGATCGCAAAGCTCGTTTACAGATATGACAAATTTCTCAACCTTCACGGTGATTATGTGGAAAAGTAACCTTGTTTGTACCTAACTTTTAATGATAAATTCATTTTGTTACTTACACTTGTTTTTTGTTTTATGGGTGATCGGAGGTTGAAAAAAAACTGCCTATGTACAAATAATTATTGCATATTCAATTATTTTTATCTTAAACATACTTTTACATAATTACAAGAACAATTAGAAAGTTAAATAGTGTGAACCTATACAAAGCAAATAATTTTCTACTAACTACTACTAATAAATTGTAATATACAACATGATGTTGCTGTATGAAGAGATTGAATGCCACATGTATCATGTAAAATGATATTTCATGTAAATTTGTGTTCCATCCAAGTAGTTCCAGATGATTTTCCAGACACTTTGTGTTTACAATATATACTGAATTTCATAATAAAAATAGTCAATGTATGCATTTAATAGTTAGAATTATGTCTGAATTTGAAGATTAACCTAATCATTTGCCATTCATGACAATATAAATGTCACTTATCAGTTCTCCATAAAAATTTTTTCTTAAAATAACATTTAAGTTTATTATTAGATTTTTCATTAGTTTATATAATGAATGGATGTTCTTCCTGGATAATTTTTTATAAATTTTCTTGGTATATGATTGATATTTTGAGATTTGCAGGGTTAACTTGTATGGTGGATTTAAATTTATGAAAGGCAAAAGACACTCTTAATTAGTCAATGTAACATTCAAGTGTAGAATTTTGGTGATTTATCTCTCAATGAAAATAATTGTTAACTAATAATAAAATACAGAAAAACATTATGTGTGTACAACCATTCAATATTGCAATTATATTTATTATAGAATATTTGCTGTTAAATAAACTGAGTGCTATATTTTGCAACATTTCTAGCAAAATCAATGTAACTACGCAACAAATAAGTTAGCAGATACATATGGATTGTCATAATATTCACTTTAAATACTTTTAAAGCCAGAAATTGTATAGTGAAGACCAAAGAATTGAGTAGACTTCTGATATACACATGCTACCCGATCACTCAATAACGGTAGATATGTAGTTTTTTTCCATCAGAAATATTGTTTACAACGTTATAACTATACAACTAAAGTAGTTGTGCATTTTTTTTTTCCTAGCTATTGTTTAACATTGTTGTTACATAAGTGGTTTCTTCATTGTCTTGTTGTTTGTCTCTTACAACTTTCAGAACTTTTTATATACATGCATTACATATTATGAAGGATTTTAAAATTACCTAGTGAATTTTTTACTTTTAATGAGGAATTTTTTGTGTTTTGTAGTATGTTTAAATATATTTTGGACTGTTGATAAGAAAATGGCATTTATTATATGTTAAAAATGGCTGAAAATATTATATTAACTTTTTTCATATTCTATTTGAAATAAATTGGTTATTATGTATGCTAGTCAGATTTAAAATACTGTTTAATTAAACCCTATAACCTTATTTTATACTGGATCTGCCGTGTAAATGAATGTTTAGAAATTCGGCAATATTTATTTAATAAATGTCTCTTTTTGAAAACCATCTTCAGGATTCATTAAAAATAGAATTAATCAGAATACATACAAAATTTAGTTTTATTTCATAAATTAAATAATCTAACAGTAAATAAACTTTGTAAATTTTTTAACAAAAAATTTATTTTTTGTTAAATTATTACATTTATTTTATGATATTTAAGTATAACTTCAATATTTATTATATATTAATTTTTATTAATACTTCTATATTCTTTCTCCTAAATTATTTTTATATTTATTATTTGAACATGTACATTTTTATTAAGATGGTCTTCAAAAAGATACATTTGTTTTATAAATTATTTTTTAATACATAAATTAATTTTTTTCTTATATTCAAAAACTCTGTAAAAATTATGTAAATTAATATTTTTATAATTTCAACAAATTCAGAAATTATCATTATTTTTCTAAGATAATAGCGAGGTTGAGGCCGAAGTTTTAAACACGAAAATGTGTACGTTGGACGTTCAGCGCCACTTTCCTGTAAGCCTAGAAGTTTGACAATGGTGTTTGGATAGTCAGTGGAATCATGCTCGACATTCCAAACACTATTATCAAACTCCTAGGCTTACAGGAAAGCGGCGCTGAACGTCCGACGTACACGTTTTTGCATTTAAAACTTCGGCCTCAACCTTGCTAATAATGCATGAACTCATCTAAAACTGCAAGAAATGTAAATTGATTTTAAACTCGAAATCAGTAAGCACTAATTTATGTATATTCTGAACTATAAATATTTGATTTATTCTGAAAATTACATAAAATTTATTAGTACATAATAATAATTTATTATATTTCTGAGCAAAATCAGCATGAAACAAATCTTGTTACAATATATTTAAAAATTGGATTCAGCATGAAAGTTAGACAAACTTATGAATAAAAATTTGTACGTCTATTTGAGAAACTTCAGTTAATGATTTTAATCAAAGACAAATGATCGGTGTAATGAATCAGGCTATTTTATTGCTACTATTAATAATTAAATTCTAAATAATTTGGTATTAAAGATAGATGTTAGGT